AAAAAGCAAAGCGATGCATGATGGGGCGACGTTGAGACGGAAGTGCTGAAACCGAGAGATAAATAAGTGACAGCTAGAGCTTTTTGCACTTCTACATCTAATGTACCCTGCCAAAAGCGCCCAGCAGAGAGATGGATCGAGATCACAGACCTGAATACCTGCGCTTATCGCCACTTATCACCTGCGCTCACGTTTCTGAGGTTAATGCGAGAGGCATTTTGGGGCCACGTGCTTCAAAATACAGACTTCAAAAGCTTGTAAGGTTTCAAGCTTTTGAACGAACAGCTTCAGAGGTTTTTTTGCAGTGTTTATTCCTGGTCTAAAATATGCACAGAGTAACGGTGTCGCAGTTTATGCCCGACTGGTACCGGCTGGAAGCTGGAAATAAAGTAAACTTGATGTTTTGTAAGCCAACATGAGGCCCCATGTTGTAGGGCCCCATGTTGTATGGAGGAAATTACTTGTCATGCTCTATCAGAGGAGGGAAGATCTCTTGCTAATAGCAGGTGCGGCGAACGTCTGGGGTATTTGCAGGAACGAGTGGAAAACAACTCATTTACCTCAGAGCAAGAGAAAAATTATGCATTTACGGCTAAGTAACGTTGCTTTATGCGATGCTCTCCAAAGCTTCATTTCTCTGCTCGTTGCAGTCAAATTGTTGTGGCGGCTCAGCACAGCTGGCAACAGGTGTGGTGTTAATCGCCATATGACTTCCACCACGGTAAAAAAACAGTACATCTGAAAGCAAGAAATAGGCAAATTAGTGTAATTGAAAATGGCGCATTAAAAACTCAAAGAGAGCTCTTTGTAGTCGGGACAAATGGCGTTTGCATTATGCGCATGGTACACAATAGCCGTGTCACTCAGCACAGCACGCCGGCATTAAAGATGTATGCGACGTTTTCAGTACTGTTTAGTGAACGACAAAAGAATGCCATGTGTATTTACAGTAAAGAAGTCTCCTGACAGAAACAAATGACTGTGGCCCGAGTTAGGATGATTAATTTCCTTTGCCTACTGTAAACAAGTCAAATGCATTTTTAATCATTCCAGAAAAATAACAGCCATCGGCCCACGGATTGCTAATGAGCTGTGATGCGTTTGAGTCTTCCAGACACAACACTGAGGAATACCCGTGTTTCCCACCCCAAATCCCCTTCTGAAAGAATATATGGAGACGAATTTAGTTTTAGGCGGCCGTTAAAAAAATAAAAAATAAATAAAGAAGAGCACACACTCACACTCAAGCCAATGCTTATTTATTAAAATCAGCTGGGGAAATGCAGAACAATGGAAAATCAATCAATAGCCTGACAGAATTCTTCATCTTCATATAACGTTAGCCAACATATTAAAACACAAGTGCAAAACAATAGGACATTTTATTAACGAATCGCATTATAACGGCTTAAAAAAAACAACAACAAAAAAAACATACTTCATGTAGTCTATATCATCTAAAAACAATGAACAAAAAGAAAGACAGGACCCGAGGCGATTAACAATTCCTGCACTTGAAAAAACGCGCTCTGCAGGTACTGAAGTCGCAGGCACACAGAGATAACGATAAGCAAGCCAACAGAATTTCGGAAAGCGCGTAGACATCCTGCACCACCACCGAAGTGGGTCTTTAGAGGAATAGACGGAGCGGACGGGATCGCAGTGGCGGCGGGCTGTAGTGAATGACGTGATTGACATTAGCTGGTTCTGGCTAGTCTCTAAGCTAACGCCTACGTGCCTGTATTGAATATGATTACGCATCGCTCCAGTAGAGTTATTGAAAGCAAATTTGATATTATACAGTTTACACACAACTTTTCCGTTTCCTTCTAATTCAAAATAATCCCCCACACCTTACTCGTCTTTCGCGTGGTCACTTTTGAGCTCGCCACAACTGACACGAAGAAAACTCATGCGAGGTCTGAGGTAAAAATGTAGTTTACGCCCAGATACACTTTTAAAAATAATGTATTATTTTTCTAATGTTTTTTTAACTTATTTAAAATGTTTTAAATGTAACAATGGTAATATGATGGTAACATAAAATGATGGTAATTTGAATGATAATTAGTTTTTTTTTTTCTTTTTCTGTCGTGTAATTACGGCTGGACAATAATTCAATATCAATATGTATCGCGATATAATTTTTTTCAATTGTATTTACAGTAAAGAAGTCTCCTGACAGAAACAAATGACTGTGGCCCGAGTTAGGATGATTAATTTCCTTTGCCTACTGTAAACAAGTCAAATGCATTTTTAATCATTCCAGAAAAATAACAGCCATCGGCCCACGGATTGCTAATGAGCTGTGATGCGTTTGAGTCTTCCAGACACAACACTGAGGAATACCCGTGTTTCCCACCCCAAATCCCCTTCTGAAAGAATATATGGAGACGACTGCAGAAAGACTGAGAGAGTCAAGGAAGGTCTGGGCAGCAGTTGAGATGAAACAGATGTTATGATAATTAGCACCGACGGTATAATTTATCCTGCTCTGCCCTGACTGCGGAGCTCAAGCGAATGCTTCACAGGTCATGTAATTATGCTGCTTAAGTGGCTTTTATCAGATTGCCATTGTTTGGAATTCGCTAGGCAACTAAAATGAGGTAGTAGGGCTTAGGCACATGGTTTTAGTGTAAACACGCACTCAATAAGAGCACCTACGCATGTGCCATTTTTATCCCTCAGAACAGTGCATTATTTACAAATTAATTAAATTAAGTATTGAACAATACTGACACATGCACAAATAAATGTAAAAAAAAATACTAATATTTTCATATAAAACATACAATATATATATAATATATATACAATATATATATATAAGGGATGTCCGCGACGACTAATTTGACTGTCGTTTAAATAGAAGTTTTGTATTCAACTAGTCGACTAGTCTAAAAGCAAGAAACCCCCAAAAGATGGTAAGAAAAGGGGGTCTAAATACTTTCCGTACCCACTGTATATATATATACACACACATACAACACTGGATTATACAATGCAAACACTAAGGAAAATAGCAGTCTGGACATTCATTCATGAGCTGTAATAAAGCTGGAGGGAAATTAAGTATTTGTGCAGTCATTGATCTCTGTCAAGGTATAGAAAAATCTACCCCACAGATGGGACTTGCCAGGGGTTATGTAAAATGAATTATAGAGCAAAAAAAAATAAAAATCTCTGTTGAAATTGAAAATCAATATGTGATCCATTAAGGAGTTAAGTGCTGTGTTCTGACAGGTGGCTCTGTCCCAGGCTGCTCACGTCAATGATGGAAAACCGTCCGAGCGTAAATAATGTAGGAATAAATCAGCCAGAAATGAATCCTCTCATCGTTCAGGAGAGGAAACCCAGCGCAGGACTAAATCACACCAAACAACATCAGCTTCTGAAGCCGTCTATGAATGCGGCCATTTGCTTTGCCCGTGCTTTGGAGCATGTGCGGTATTTGCATGAAGGCTGTCTCTCAAGACGATGAAAGATTCATCAAAGAGCCCGGTCCTGCTTTGAGTGTCAGCCAAGGCACCAGAGCTGTCAGCAGCCAAAGAAGAAATCACACTGCTTTTCAATTTTAGCACCACGTCCACCACCTCAACCCATGTAGACGCTATGTTATATGCATGTGTATATGTGAAAGGGTAATGAGAAATGCCTGGCAGAAGTAGAAACTATATTGATCTGAAGCCTCCCAAGAAAACCTAAACGTGTCTTCTCAATGCAGATGAGGTTGCCAACATCCTCCAATGATGATTTAGTCATGCGGTGTCAGATGAATCCTATAATGGGTTTGGTCTCCAAAAGATTACATTTTCCAAAGCCCAGTGAGATTTTAAAGCCAGACGCATTTACTAAGATCTCTCGCTGCGGTTTAACAATGTGAGCGGCTACCTGAAGGCTATCTCCTGTAATCACCATTTCTCAGTTCAGGGCACACATTATTACAAAGGTAGGCAGGAGGGCGTCTCATTATCCTGAGTGTCTGAGATTACTACGCTGAAGGACTTTCATCAGCACTGTGCTTGAATCCTGGACTCTGTGCTGCCCACTTTGTATTCAACCATGTCGTGCCTCCCTAGTCAATACACGGTGATGAAACAAGCTTGTGTCTTGCTGAGAGAACAATAATGTAGTGTTCAAAGATTTATATTGCTGTTAGACTATTCTCAACAAGGGAGATATAGTGGAGACCTCCACTGTTATCTGAAACGATGTTTGACAACCAACTGTTTACTTCAACTGACAGCGTTTGGTTTCAACACACACCCATCTTATGTAACCCATCATACGCAATCTCAGTGCGGGATGACATTAAGAGGTCACGTCTCATTAAAAGGATTGGATTAGGCTGGGTGGTATGATGGCATAATGTGTCAACTGTAGAGATTGTGCTGTAGGGTTTTTGTGTGGCGTTATAATAATAATTTTTAAATATTATTACAATTTAAAATCACTATTTCCTATTTCAATATACTTTAAAATGTAATATATTCCTGTGATGCAAAGCTGAATTTTCAGCATCATTACTCCAGTCTTCAGGGTCACATGATCCTTCAGAAATCATTCTAATATGCTGATTTGCTGCTCAAGAAACATTACTTATTATAAATGTTGAAAACAGTTGTGCTGCATAATATTTTTGCGGAAAGCATATTTATTGATTGATTTATTTATTTTAGAATGTGAATAGAAGTTTCAAAAGAAGAGCCTCAATATAAAACTAAAACTAAAACAATTTCTTTAATGTCACTTTATCAATTTAATGCATCTTTGCTCAATCATTATTTTTAATAATTATTATATAAAAAGTATTTTTTAAACAAACAAACAAAAATACATATCTTACTGACTGATATATATTCTCCTATTCAAGAGAATTAATAAAACATGAAATACAAAAAACAACTGCAACATCATACAATCTCAAGCTTGTTGAGTCATTCATCCAGCATAAGTAACAGGTTACCATAGGAACTCCTATTTCTTCTGCATCACTACTATAGCTATTCTGTGCTAGTTGGAGGAAGAGTCACTGTGGAGATGAGAGATGGCTGTTCTGTTGAAGGGTCTGCCTTACATCAACACAACCACACAAGTACAGACACGATGAAGCTCACACAGTGAGCCGTTCTCTCTCCGGACAAACCGCACAAATGAAAGCGTACACTATCACTGAGAGCACATTTGCTGCAGGACACAATGAGAAAGCCCTGAGTATCAGCGGAAAATGCCACTCTTTTGATTTGAATCAGATCCTTCACGTTCTGCCAGATGCTGCTGGGAAAATCTCATTTACAGGAGGGGAGATTGGAAATATGAGCGAAGTTCTACATTAGCCTGATTCAATGAAGGCTTGGAAATGGGCTTTGTGTGTGTGCTTCAGGTCACGCTTGAGAGTCCAACATCTTTTTGGTTTCAAAAAGGCTTTCAATTTAGCAGAGTGGGCACAGAGCTTCCTGGATGTGCCGGGATCTCAGAATGAGCTCTAAGTGGGATGGTGTGTGTGTGTGTGTTTGTTTGACTTGACTCAACGTCCGGGCAAACAGCCAGACCACCGGGACAAGACAGACCTGAGGCTCCTGTGGCTCTCCTGAGAGGTCTATTGTGTACTGTGTAACTATAAATGTCACCGATTTCCAACAGTTTCACACAGAGATTTAAGGAAACGGTGTCTTTAAAAGCGTAGGAGCCGAGAACAAATGCCAGCTACAAGCTTCCAGCTTCCTTCAGGCAGCGTGTCAATTATAGCCAGCTTGCATATCAAATCCTTTGGCCATAAGCACATATTCAGTCTGGTAAAACCTGAAAAAACATCTGTACACTCCAGGTTTACATACCTCTTTGCCTGAGAGATAATAGGCAGACAGCAGGCCTCCAACAAAACGGATGTTCACTTCAAAGACAGAGATTTCGGCATTCTGAAGGAATAAAACACAGGACAACAAAAAGATGTGAATAATAAAGCTCATAAAAACACTGACTGGCTCACCTTGAACTGCAGACTGTAAACATATGGGGGAAAAAATGAATACGCACTACAAACACACTTCGCCCTCACACAACAAATACAAAGAAAGAAAACAATACAACAGAGCTGATAAAGCTCTGCTGGAATTGAGCACAGATACAAACAAGATCCCACGGGAGGGTGAAATCTGAGTGCGGATATTTTTTTCTGCGTATCTGGGAAGCCATGACTGCTGGGTTAAGGTGGTTTCCTATGGTGCATGTAACATGAACAAAAACATCACTCAAAGGATAAAGAGCTAAAAAGAGAGGATGCTCCCGAGACTATCTTTCAAATAATAACAATCAAAAAACCTAATATTTCAAAAGAAAACCTCTTTGATGTTATACATTCATCTTATATTTATCTGCAGTAGAGAATACTTGCAGCACTATTACATCTGACAATATGATTTTAAATATTTTTTTTAAAACCAGTGCTCTTAGACAGATGGTACACAGAACAACCCTGGAATTTTACATTATAAACATTATTTATAGTATTAATATTTTATTACTATAATCTTTACATATAAAATAAAATATTTAAATTATTATTATTAATATAAATTATTTTTAATTATATATATATATATATATATATATATACACACACAAATTATACATTCAATTAGTGATTTTAACTAATTTAATTATACAGTAACATGTTTAACTTATGTCTCATTCCAATTTTAATATACATTTACGCTATATATATATACACACACACACACACACAAATTATACATTCAATTAGTGATTTTAACTAATTTAATTATACAGTAACATGTTTAACTTATGTCTCATTCCAATTTTAATATACATTTACGCGTTTAAGATGCATAAGTTGTAAATAGATGTATTTATTTATTTTTTATTGCTAAAGCAGCATCTATGGCAAGATCAATGTATTTTAAAAGAAACAAAGTAGTAACACACAGTAGTAATGAAACCCAAAAAACTGACAGCTAACTCATATCAATATAACAAACATTATATAATATTTTACATTTCAATGTTTGATAAAAAAATTAAAAAATAAGATTATTTGTGGAGTGAAAAATGCAGAACAATACTCGGTGACTAGAGCAGGATCAGGGTAGGTGTTATATAGTGTGTGTAATAGCATTCAGGTGAGCGTGTAATTGGTTTCAGGTGTGAGTGTAATCAGTGCAATGGAACATGGGAAATGTAGTCCAGGGTGATGTGTAACAGTCTGTGTGGTGCGAGAGTCAATATCATGGAAGGGCGACCTCTGGTGGCAAGTGGATGGAAATTCATGGATCGGATTCGTTGTGCAAGCCCTCGCACATCACGCTGTGTGAAGTACAGACTGAACGGATTGTCAACACATCCCACCGCTGTATGGCCAGACGAGACGCAAACTACGGTTTCTCGACTTGATAACCAGCTCGCTAGTTAAGTTTTGATGGATGAAGACTGCAACCAAGGTAAAGACGATTGCAGTGCGTACAGGAGTCTTACAGTTAGCACGCGTGAGTCCGTTATATTAATGCGTGTATGAGTGCTCTTGACGCACTGATCGCACATTGTATTTATGCACAGGCACAGACATTTCCGTACAATCATGTTGTTTCCACACACATTTATGATAATGTTTTGATTTGTCATGTTTATGTTGCTGTGTTTAGATATACGGAATAGATCCGTGTATTGTAGTAGATATATGCAGTCAGCAGGCAGTTGGTTTAGGTTTTATTTGGCATCTCCATGTGGTCCTGTTCGGTATCGCAACTTGGCTTCTCTAAAATAAAATAAAAAGCTCTTTGCTGTTGCACTGTACACATACTATATATTAAAAAAAATTATTTCAAATGTGCTTATATGGGCTCCCTATATCATTTGGTTCTTTGGTGTCCTTTTGGAGTTTCTAAGTGTCCTTTTTTGGAAAGACACCTAAATTTATCTTGCAGAAAATATCAATTTTTGAGAATCACCCTTCAATCTTTTGGTTTATTTTGCTGGATATAGTTAATGATGACAAAATAAACATTTATTATATAGATATTACATAAAAAAAGAGAACAAATATAATTCTATTTTGTATTTTATTAATATAATTTTTTATTTAATTTAAAATGTTAATACTAATTATACATTTCATAGTGTCTTTATGCATTTTTATATTTATTCCAAAATAATAACTAAAGGCAGTAACAATTTTAACAATATTCTGGAAACAGTTTACAATAAGGTTTCATTAGTTAACATTAGTTAACTACTTTAGTTAACATGAACTAAGAATAAACAATAGCCTACTTCTACAGCATTTATTAATCTTAGTTCATATTAATTTCAACATTTACTAATGCATTATTAAAATCAAAAGTTGTGTTGGTTAACATTAGTTTATGCACTGTGAACTAACATGAACTAACAAGGAAAACTGTATTTGTATTAACTAATGTAAACAAAGATTAATAAATACTGTAATAAATGTTCATTGTTTGTTCATGTTAGTTACTCATTAAATGACACCTTATTGTAAAATGTTACCAATATTTTTTATTTGTGAACTGATGTTCAGCTGTTCTTTTAATAGTCAACTTATTTTCGGATCATCATCATAAAAGCCCTGTAAACACTGCCACAGACACAAAGATATATATTTAATTTCATCACGCTGAATGCTCATTAAAAACTGACGCAGTCATCACTTTTTCAGACCATTTTAAGTTTTATTTTGACGTGACATAAAGTAGTGGTATCTAAGCGGGAGAGTTGTTTGTTTACTTTATAATTAGTCAATAATGCCATAATTTTCTTCATTCAGGCCGGGAGGTTGCACGCAATCCATAACGCAATTTGTCTCCTCTGTGTCTCTCCGTATCACCATAGCGCCATTTTGGAGAATATCCACTGAACGCAAGCCACATACGCACTTTTGTGTCAGCCGCGACACAAGGATACGTTTTCTATGTGTATTTAAGCTTAGATTTGAACGAAAACAGCGCATCCATGCAGCGCAGCTGACACAGAAGAGCGTACACTGTTTGCGTTCAGTGGTTCAGTACACATACATATACATGCACATACATATATACAGTATATACTCATACACATATTGTGACGAGCGTCCCGAAGCTTCATCAGCGTCGCCCTGGAAAAAAGCGAGGAGCACCTGGCCATCATCATCACAGGCTGATCGGTCACATCTGCCGCTCAACGCATTCCGCTCCCGGACCCCCGAGTGCAAGCCACGAAGCTGCTACCCAAGCTGACCCCTCATGATGACATAGAAGCCTTCTTACAAATGTTCGAAGCGACGGCCACCTTGGAAGTGTGGCATCAGGATGACTGGGCACGGGTGCTGGCTCCCCCTGCTGACGGGCGAAGCACAGCGTGCAAACTTCACTCTTCCCGCCGCCTCCGCCGATTAATATAAGGAGGTCAAGAAGGAAATCCTAGCCCGCCTGGGGTTATCCCCTATCTGTGCCGCCCAGCACTTCCACGAGTGGGAGTATAAGCCCTGTCTGCCGGCCCGTGCCCAGGCCGCCGAACTCACACGACTCGCGCAGCACTGGCTGCTGGAGGGGGCTCCATCGGCTGGACAGGTGGCGGAGCGCGTGGTGATTGACCGTCCGGGCCCTTCCCCGATCCCACCGACAGGCCGTGGGGATGAGGAACCCAACCACCACCTCCGAGCTGGTGGAGGCTGTCGAGCTGGTGGATGCGGCCCAACACCGGGAAGCGAGCGCCGCCATTTCCCCGGAGGGTGGTCCAGGAGTACACCTTGGAAGTGTGGCATCAGGATGACTGGGCACGGGTGCTGGCTCCCCCTGCTGACGGGCGAAGCACAGCGTGCAAACTTCACTCTTCCCGCCGCCTCCGCCGATTAATATAAGGAGGTCAAGAAGGAAATCCTAGCCCGCCTGGGGTTATCCCCTATCTGTGCCGCCCAGCACTTCCACGAGTGGGAGTATAAGCCCCATCTGCCGGCCCGTGCTCAGGCTGCCGAACTCGCACGACTCGCGCAGCACTGGCTGCTGGAGGGGGCTCCATCGGCTGGACAGGGGGCGGAGCGCGTGGTGATTGACCGTCCGGGCCCTTCCCCGATCCCCCCGACAGGCCGTGGGGATGAGGAACCCAACCACCACCTCCGAGCTGGTGGAGGCTGTCGAGCTGGTGGATGCGGCCCAACACCGGGAAGCGAGCGCCGCCATTTCCCCGGAGGGTGGTCCAGGAGTACATCATCACAGGCTGATCGGTCACAGCTGCACCTCATCAGGCGGCGGCTACATAAGCCACACAAGCCCTGCCATCTAGGAGATTCCTCCATGAGACTGAGCACTAACTCGCCCTCTCATTTTTCCCACAGAAAGCAGCGTGTGACCGACCAGCCCCACAGGAGCACTGCACGGACCCTCTGCACTGGGAAGACGGAAGAGAGCACTCACGGCACCGGAAACACCTACCTGGACCTTTCTCACAATCACCCATCACACCAATAAATCCACCCTCCGGGGTATTGATTGAGATTACTTGTCATGTGATTCTTCACCCTGTTACACTGGTGGAGAATGCGGGCAAATCAGTGAAGAATCAC